AGACAGTGGTAAAGTTATGCACCATTCACTTGGTAAAACTGAAAATTATATTTGGAACATCAAATGGCATCTACTGGGTATTATTCCATTTGGAATATTTTGCACTTCATTGTCAGGGAATTCGCCTCTTGCAAGGCCAATCTCAGGTTTCAAATATTTGCATGAAATCTTTAACCAGGTGGTTTTATGTAATGAACACATTGCCACTCTTGTCTTATGCTTGATGTACGTTGGTGACCAACTGAGTTAATACCACCAGCTGACTAAATTTTTAAATGGTTAAACAGGAAATAAAACAACAGCTGTATGTGTGGTCAACTTTTTGTATGCGTGGTCAACTGTTTGTCACCTTCAGCAATTCTGATTTTCTAAATGTCCACAAATCACCCAAGGCCATGGCTTAATGTCTTTCCTCAAAAGAGAAATATTTCTGTTTTTTGAATTCAAAATTTTCCTTTCATATTTAGGGGTGATGAATCCTCCTGTTCTTGTGGATTTGAACAATGATGGAACTGTTGACATCACCATGGCAATGTACAACACAACTGTCATTGCTTTTGATGGAGAAAACTACAAGAGGTTGTGGCATTTTGTATTCCCATCAAGTGAATCATATACGTAAGTTCATACATTAATCTTCAGCTTAGTGCTAGAAGTTGTCAGTCATTGCATCTTTTTGCCATATTATGCTAAATAATGTGATATGTCTAGAAATCTCAGTTCACCTTTTAAAATTGATCAGGAACAAAACTGACAGAAATCACCTGTCCAAATCTTTTAATTCCTTGTACTTGAGGCTGATACTGATACCTTGGCTTCTCATTGGCTCTTTTGGATGTTTCTCTGTGTCCTGCTTGGTCATTGTGATTACTTGAGTCAGGTTTTCATTGTACAAAAGTCCATTAAAAAAATGCTACAAATTTAAATACATATTCTCTCTTTGATATTATGAAAGGTCACCAGCAGCAGGTTTCTTTAATAAGGATAACACAGCCGACTTTTTGGTGAGGTACAACTATGGATCAGGATTTCCGGTTTATTTTTACTCAAATGTGAGTGGGTTTAAAATAATTATGCATGGTCAAGTTGAACAGTGTGGACAGCTTTTGGATCTTTATTTTTAAGACAACACATCATTACCCAAAGGGAGAGGTACTCGCTCAAATGCACTCTTGGGGGTCTTGTCTCGAATTTGTTTTTCTACAAAACCCCAAACCTTTGTATTCTTTCTAACAATGCTGTACCACTGAGCTTCAGAAAACTGTGTGAAGAACTGCTTTTGATAACTTCTGCATGCCAGTGAGTGTTAAGTTGTATTGTATTTTGACTTGCTCAAAATGTCCCAGTAAGAACATTTGAAAATATAGGGTTTATTTCCTTGTTAATTTCTCAGCTGCTTGATTGAAAAGTAGCCAAGATTATTTTTAGAAGAAATCTTAGCCATCTAACAAACAGTTTTTATTCTTCAAGGTACCATATCACCCTCCCCCACCTTGAATGAGAAATTTTCTAATGAGATGCTGTTGTATGGCACCCCCTCCTTTCAAAAAGCCCTCTATCCTCTCCGTGAGACAGTCTAATTTTTGAAATAATTTTTTGACCAACAGGTGACAGTGATCGATGGCAAAACAGGCAAGCCGTTAGTCACACCTTTCATGAAGTCATCGTCAATGTGCAACACGTCTCCCCTGACAGCTAGCATGCAGGGGCTTGGTAACGACCTGTTTATATACTGGGTTTCAGACTGTCTCGGCCACGAGGGCGAGGGAGGAAACTTTGAGTTTGTGGAAGGAACGAACGTCCATGAGCAAAGCAGAGCTGACACTTGTAAGCTTCGATATAATGCAAAGAGCTTTAGTAAGCTGCGGGTGACTAATCACAATATAGGCTTTCCTGGCAAAGATATTTATTATTCAGGTGAGGAAGTTAAAAATCTACTTTTTATGAGAGTTGGATGCTTAACCCTTGACTCCTTAACATCGGTATGAATATTCTCCATACAACTCCCTTGACATTTCCAAGGGTTCTGACAAGGAGAATTTGCGTAACGATCAAGAGCTTCTTTAGTTGATGATCATTTCCTTCATTCTCATGACGTTAATGTTTGATTCAGGGGTGATATTGTAAGGAGAAATCAGATGTTAGTCACTCTCACGGGTTAAAGGGCTAAGGCGATTAGTATTAGTATCCAAGCAACTGCGCACCTACCCCTCCCCTGACCCAACATTAACCCAAACTTGTTATCGGTTTACTGTTGTCAGGGGAGAGGAAGGTGCGAATTTGCTCAGATATTGACGTAGATCCGTTATACCACACGTTGTATGATTCTCGCATTCTTATTGGATAACTTGGAGGCGACTAAGCAAAGCATTGTTCTCCTCCAAAGAGCCAGAGAATGACCAAATGACCTGCCCGTCTTTGCCAGTGACAATCCTTTTACAGCAGCTAGCAAAGCCCTCTGCCATTTTTTCAGAGTGCGCACATGGTAGTTGCTGTAGTGTGAATAAACGTGTCAAAAATTAACACGTAAAGTAAGAGCTATTTCAATGTTTATCGCATTTTCAGAGGATTTCCAAGACATAGAGCATGAAAGTCTAAGAGAGGAAACTGGCAGCAAACCAAACAGCAAAAACTCCACATTCACCTCACGAAGAAAACGACACATTGGAGCACCAGATCACGGCGGGTATCAGAGACTTATTTCAACAGGTTCGATGGCCACTTCGCTTGGAGAAGAAAACAATAAAGAACCAATGGACTCCATCGATGTGGTTTTCACTACCTACTGGCAGTATCCAGCTAAAGTACGGATTATTTTACCAGAGGACAAGGCTTGTATTGAGAATTATAGAAATCTCAGCAGAGCAGGTAAATTGCAATCACTTTTTTAACAGTAAGGTATTTTGTTATGGCCGTACTCTACTGTAACATCAGTCCCAGGTCGCTTTACCTTCTATCCACACCTTTGAGTGAAAAGAGCTTGTGGAAGGGTCACGGAGAGAAAAATTAAGTTTTTGATTTGGCTTTCTTTGCATGTTTTTACCGCGCCAAAAACAGAAAAAGCTGTTGTTTCTCCCAGCAAAATATTGAAGAGAGTGCCATTTGTTTATATTTGGTTTGTTTTGTTTGCTTATTCGTTTTGTATTGGTTTTTTGTTTGTTTCCGATTCGAGAAATTCATCGTCATTTGCAACAGTTACGAGAGTACAGACCAGACTTCAACTTACGAAATATCTTTGTGAGCTAAGACGTAGATCTGCTACGTGTGATAAGAACAACTTTGCGTAAATCTTTGTCCCTGCATTGCAATTTTGTCTCGAAGCAAATCGTAACAATTCAAACTCGTGGGAATTCGTTTTGGTGATCGCAATGAAGAAGCCGAGGATTGTTTACGCGTAAAACGGTAAACAACAATTTGGTTTCCTCTTTTATTAAATTAATACAATTGAAGAATGCGAAGCTTTTCGCTTAACTCTACGAATGACTAATAGCAGACAACAAAAGGTGAATTTTTTTGTTTATTTGTCAAATCAACAGGGAAATTTGATAATGACGTTGATGAAGACAAGAATGAAAAACTTGGAATATACGATGCAGGAGATTCAGCCGTGAATGAGTGCCTCAAGAAAAAGCAACATCAAACTGACAAGGAGCAAATATTTGTCAGTCAATCAGACTATGACTTGTACAAAGTCCACTTTGGAAGCCTGACCGTGTATCGTTTTTCCTTGAAGTGCAAATGCAACAATCTGTCCCCTTCCAAAAAATGTGCCAAGTTTTTAC